TACATATAACTTCAATTCGACTTTGACAAACAGATATTCTCCATTTACCCTTTTATTTCTGTCACTAACAGATGTAACCAACATGACTCCCAGTTTTTTCTCTTTTGCTTTTCTTTTCTTTTTTTTTTTTTTTTGTGGAAGCTTGAAGAAAACTATTGCATTTTTTAACCACAACATGAGGGTTGCTCATTTTAGAGTGAGAGTATTTGTTAAGGATAGCAAAGGGCATATTTATTGTGTTTATTTCTATTCTACAATGTACTTTATATAGATGTGCCTCTCAAGTTGTAAAAGTCACTCCTTGTATTTTTAATCCATGCTACTCCTACCATAATACACATCTCTTTTCATTATTTTTGGTAGTTAAGTAATCGTTCTTAGCTCTTGAAACTCTTTCATCGCTACCAACACCTGGCTTGGCAAGGGAAGTTATACTTTCAGAATTCACTAGAGAACTCAAAGTAGACCATCTTCATTAGATAGAAGGAGATGGCTCATGACACGTAGCCTCTCGCATGTGAAATGAGTGCAAGTCAAAAGGACCCTCTTTATGTCCTATAGAAGGGTATTCTAGTCAGCTTTCATGTCATCATCGTTGTTGATGCATCAACCCCTACCTCAACAATGATCCAACAAATCAACAATATAATTGGTTTGAGAGAGGAATAGTCCATCAGAATTAAAACTAGTAATCCCCAAAAATAATTCAAAACTCCCAAGTTGGTCATCAAGATCTCTGATTTCAACAAGGAGATAATTGTATGCAAAAGACATTGAGTAGAAGTAGTCAAAATAATGTCATCCACGTATAAAAGTAAAATAATTTTTACTAGGAATTTAAATTTGGTCTATGAATTTAACTTTTGTTTTTATTCATAATTGTTCTCGTACGAAAAACTTTGCAATATAATGTAATTTGATTTTGAATCCTTATTTTATTTTACTAAAGAGCTTTAGGAGCAGTCATGTACTGACTATGGCATAAAAAAAAAAAAGTCATGTACTGATTTTGAATTCTTAGGGCAGATAACTTAAAACAAAACAGGAATTTACAATGCTCAATTAAATAAAGGTGAGAGAAGTAAAAGACTAAAAATCTGGCAGCAGAGCTAAACTATTCTATTGATTTTCTTGGCCTTGAATTTGGAATAAAAACAAATCAGGTACCATCTGAAACACTTTTAAATGTTTACGAAATTGAATTGAACCGGTGAACCCTAACCAAAAGTAGTTTAGGAAAAAAGTAGACAAGAAAAAGAAAGAAAGAATCAAAAAACCCTTTTAGGAATTTCCAATAGAAAGCCTAACTCATCTTTCCTTTCTATCTGAATTTCCTCAAGTGGTTTTGGGACTCAAATTTTCCATTTTATTAAACATTTTATCTTCTTAACAAATCATAGATATCTGACAGAGAAGATGTACTCCCCTGTCCATTCTTTTGTTCAGTTGGCCACGAAGCTTTTTTCAACTACGTGGGTGAAAATATTTATATAAGATTTTTGTTTGCAGTTGTATGTTTGCTATTTTTGTGTGAACAAATGGTGACAACATTTTTGGTTTCTGTGTACAGAACCTCCCCAAAAGCAGTGGTCCTATTGTGGGGATTCTCAAAGGATTTGCTGGATTAAGTGGTGCAATTTTGACTCAGATATATGCAATGATCAATGCTCCTAAGGAAACAACACTCATTCTTATGGTTGCTGTCGGACCATCAATGGTGGTTATTGCTCTGATGTTTATTTTTGATAGGACAGGGCAATTGGTTCAACCTATGGAGAAAAGGGGTGGGGTCGAGGATTGCACAAGTTCGAACCATTGCCAATGAGTAAGGAAGCCTCTTACATTTAAATATTTGGCCAATAGAACTGAAGGCCTTTCTCGCTCTGATGTTTATTATTAGACCTGTCGAGCTATAAAAAAATGGTTAAAACTCCTTTTTTGTCCCTTAACTATTGTACGGACCCACGATTTGGTCCTTAAACTAAAAAATCCCTGATTTGATCCCTACTGTTTACCATTTTTACCCCGATTTGGTCCTTCCATTAAAATCTCACCGTTATCTCACAACAATTTAATGACATGTCAAACCTTTGAGACACATCAGTTGTATAAATGAATAAATAATTACATGGCAACGTGACATGTCATGTCCTTGCCCAACCCAACAAAAGTGGGGCCCACCAAAATTACGAATTTGCCATCATCTTCTTCCTCCAGCAAACAAACCCAACACCAAACAAAACCAGCACCTGGGTTGAATCGAACCCAACAACGCCC